GGTCAAATAATCGGTCACAAGATGTCCTTCGAATTTTCGATTTTGAGCAATTTTTGGTCGTCAGTCAATTTGTGCGGAACAAACCGTGCACACATCTTTCGTAAGCCCAAATGTTTGGTCTAAATGCGATAAATCGATGTTGATCTTTCAGTTGAAAGTTTATTTTTGAACTAAGTATAAATGCAACATATATTCTTTTATTTAAAACTTAATTTATCAGCAAAGTAAAATCGTTTTTTTTTTCGTAGAAATATTTATATTTATAAGTATAAAAACCTATGGTGTATATAGTGATCGATAGAATTGATATAATAAATAAAACAAACTAATTTACAGTCATGAGTTTATTCGCTTTTTCAACATATAATATACATAAAAATAAATTTTGTTTTGCTCTTGCAAGGATTATATAACTGCTTTGTGGCCTTAATTAGTTAAGTACACGAATAAAACCAGTATTATTCGTACAAAGTTTTAAATGACTATTTGTCTGTAATATATATTTGTTTTCGAATTCGTTTAAAAACTCTGTTGCAATAACTAAAAATCCAACGAGGAAAATATTTCATTTAAATTTATCATTGTGCTTTAAGAATTTAAATTCATATTGTGGAAAAGCATTCATTTATTCAAAACAACTATACGCATTTATACTCYGTCGTAATTGAGGCAGTGTATTTATATACATCATTAATCAAAAGTTTAAATCATTTCGAAGCTATATGTATACAAATAAATAAATATAATTACATAAACTCTAGTACGATTTTTCATACTTACTATAAGTGCAAATGGTAGSCCTTTTTATGGAAAACTGCAGTTTGTACATGGTTTTCAAGAGATGCTGTTCAAATTAAAAACTAACTGTAAGTAATCAAATACCCCATTACGAATCTACATATAATAGAGCGAGTATAGTTACCTCTCCACAACTGTGTACAAAATATTCTATTATATTCTATATATTCTAGTGGRTAACGACTACCACTAGGCAATTATGTCGACAGCCACTATTTGGTTTGTATTATCGGCTGAATAACTATTTCAAGATTTTTTATGTTTATACTTGAATAGTTTAAAAGAAACAAGCAAGGAAGKACTARGTTCKGGTGAAACCAAACATTTTATACTCTTGCAACTTACAATAAYCAAAGCCAGAAAAATACTTTAAGGTGTAAAACYAATYATATAGAGTAAAGTTTATTTTAGGCACAAAGATACACTRYTATGAGTATTTTCATTGAGATAAAAAAAAGTCTCCCGAACGTTCGAAAATCTTTATATTAAGTATATGGGTAACCGCCATTGTATTGKTCCGATTCAACMYATTTCCTTAAGTTTCGRTTATCTCCATTAAACATTGASTGACTTTTTCGAGCAAAATTCAACTATAGGTACCGGAGTCTAAATATTCGGTACTTATGTGATTGAACAGTTTTWATTGGATTTCAACAGTTTTTTGTCAWAAAATGACAAACACTAGAGACATAATTCATGCAAAGATTTATTTTATTGTTTGATTGTTGTAGCTTAAGTGGTTTAAGAGATTTTTACATTAAACTTTTTAGAGGGCGARCCACAGGTGCCCTTTGCTACTGCTATCCTCTGTACCAAATTACAGTTTTATATCTTAATTTAGTGCTTAGTTATGGCACTTTATATGCTTTCGATTAATGGTGTTTTGTGATTTCGTCATCCTGATCATTTATACATACATATATATCTCTATATCT